GTCCTTTAACACCACCGATTATTCTGCTGCTAAAGCAGAAACACAACAAATTGTCCCTAAGCAGCCTACTGTCACCTCCCCTGTTCCCCGCGAAAACCAAAACCTTAAACCAGGTTACTCAGAGGGCAGAGTGAGGTAGGCAGCCTGTGGTTCTGGTGCTGTGACCTCATGAGGGGGAGAAGAGGTGCGACAGAAATGTGCTGGGCCAAGAGCAAGCTGCTTCTGCAGTGAGCGACAAAGCGCGTTCTCCAACAGGGTGACTAAATCACAGGTGCTGCAGGACTTGCCCCATTCTCAAATTTTCAGAGCGAGCAGAGCTGAATAGAGTGCTCCTGAGAAACACCCAGGAGCTGTGGAAGCCTCTGGAGATGTTGGGTCAACAACACCTTCTGGTGAGGCAGCACAGGGCACCCAGGCCTGAGTTGAAGCTCCAACACAACTGAAGCAGCAAGGTGAAGCCTTAGGGACTTTGTGACTGAGTTTGGAAAGAAGCAGCATGAAAATAAAATGCCAATGACAGGTACATGAGAGTACATGGGCTTGAGGGAGAGCGTGAGAGCATATGGATGAGAAAGGCCTGTGGAGGTCTGGGTGGTTCAGATGAATATTAACACGTCTCTCAGGAGTAGAAAGTGTAGTGCTACTGCCCCTAAAGCATTTGTAATATATGCATAAACCATACATCTGCCGCATGAGACTGAAGCTAGAGGAAAGATGCTGCAGCCACCTCATCTGCTGCAGGGCAAGGCTCTGAAGGCTTATCTAAACAGGACTTCCAGGGAGACGAGTACAGCTTGTGCGAGAAAGAAGGATGGACTGGTACATAAATCTGAGATAATCCCATAGAAGAGGTGGGGCTAGTGTCTTTTGAGAACTGGCCGCTGGTTAGTGGGAATACCTTTAGGGAGAAGAGGCTGAAGTGGAAATCAGTCACGCACCTCATAGGATGGAAGAAAAGGGCCAGATGTTCTGGAGCAAGAGCGAAAAAAAATTGGTATTTGGGATTTCCATAAAATTTAGGCCTGGGCAGGACTAGGCAGCAGAAGCACTGAGTATCAGAACCTCAGCTCTGGTGGCCCCGGTTGCTCACAAAATCCCATTTTGGCAACTCGCCTTCCTTTTTCAGACCTTGTCCCTTACAGATTCCAATTCTGAATGGGCTTGGGCTGGCTCTTTAACCCAGCTGAAGAAGGGTTACCGTGCTGAAAGCCTGTGTTTCTAACTGAAGACTTGAGTCTCGGTTCCTGTGGCCTCCATTTTCAAAGACTCGATCTAACGCATCCTAAATTAACTCACCAGGCAACAGAGTATGAAATCGGACATGACCGATCGATCCTTGGGCATTGATTCAAAGCAAAACTAATGGAATGTAAAGAAAATGTAAGAATCTATCGTACTGTAAAGGGTACCTATTTAGCCATTTTACAAAATAAAATTTCATTTGGGAGCTGGCTGGAGGCATCATGTTCGAAGAACTGACTAAAACAAGGCATAGGGATGTTGCAAACTACTGCCGTACAGATCGAGCCTTGAGGGAATGGCTTTGTTAGATGCCACTGACTCAAATAATTGCATGATAATTTTGGCTAGAGGCTCCATCCTATCATCTAATGATTTTTAAACCGTGCATGGATAGTTTAAGCTGAGTGATCTTGGCATCCAGCTACAAAGAACCGAGAAGTCTGCTCAGCGTACCACGTCTATGCTTTGGCTCTTGGGAAAAAAAAAAGATGTCCTAGCACTGTCGAAGGAAGGTCTCTGAGCTATCACAATCAGCAGCGCTGCGTGCTCCTTCTGCAATGCTCTAAGATAGACTAACCAAGGGCTTTCTCCTAAGGTAAGCAACAGAAAAATAATTCTTCCTAGGGCAGTACGTAGCAGGCAGGTCCCTGTCAGACTGGAAGCAATGTGAATTAAACCCAGGAGTATTTGCATCTTAGCATTTAACTTTTTCTGACAAGAAATTTAACATTTAACTCTGCTTTTTCAAATCACAGCTGATGAAAATCTGGCATAAATTGAATACAGAAGTGATTTGAACAGTGGCAAATGATCGAATGAACTTTAAAATAAAGGAGTAACAAAACCAAGAAATAAAGAAACTTCCTCCAAGAGAAATGGTGGATTTCCATCTGGTTCTAACTGAGTACATGCATGAATTTTTGTTGTTTGAAATAAACATATAAAAATATTTGGACAGACACAAAGGTAGTCAAATGGGATAATGAGAAATGTCTCAGGTATGTACTATCTATACTAAAAATGGTATCTTTCTAGTATACTAGGCTAGAATACTAGAAAATCTAGTCTACTAGTAGGCTGGAAATAATGGTATGTCTGATATTTGGGATTACTCTCTTACGGTAAACTGAAATTACTCTGTTACACAGAACTTAAATAAGACCAGGGAAGGGAGAGATGGAAAAATTGGAAGCACATTCCTATGACAAGGTTGTAAAGTAGTTTTGGCTGATTTCTTAGAAATGCTGGCTTTTGTGGCTCTAGACTAACTTCACTTCATGCACAACATTCACCGTGTCAATATTCATACTGTGGTTCTACTAGTGCAGATTTGAGGGAAAGTGTCTTGGTATAACAAGCTCACTTAGAGAGTGAATTAGACCACTCCTACAATTACTCTCCCCTGCCAGCTGTTATAAAGTAAAGGTGAGGACAGAGTTGTTTAAATACTGGTAGAAACAACTTAAGAAGCAAACATGTCTGTAGAGCCAGAGTGATACGTTTATACTCTTCCTCTTGTCCTCTCTTACCCTGAATGGTTACATTCACTTTCTGTTCCAAAACAGGCAATGATAATTCCTGTTGCTAGAGGAATGCTAGCATTTCATCTTTGGGTTTAAAACGTCTCCTTTCCCTTTTATTCCTGCATTTACATTTTAGCTTCTCACTTGGTTTGGGGTTTGTTTTTTTTCTTTTTTTCCCCCAGAGTGTATCAATTTCAGTGAGCCATTCACAAGGCAGCAAATATACCCAAAGCTCCTTTGCTTAACTGTTGCATTGCTGTCATTCAGTCACTTTTCAGGGGAAGTGGCACAGAGCAATCAGCAAGTGTCACTCACTTGTACTTGGCCTCTTGAGTACCCTGCGTTTGGGAGCTTGCTCCATGTAAAGCTCTACTTCTCACTTTACTGAAGGTGAACTATTCCATATCAGCACTTCCAAGCTTGGAAAAACAGGTTCAACACTGTTAGCTTGAGATGTAACATTTTCCAGTAAACATTTCAACATATGAACATCTTTACACCCACCCAACCTATGACATTGCAACACTTTGATATCTGCTCTGAGTAAAATCCATATAAAGTCAGAAGAAAGATCTGGTTGTTCTTTAAAGATGAGGCAAATGGAGTACAGTAATTCTTGCTAACTTTTTTTCCATATATCTTATTTCAATGATATACATGGGAGGGAAGGAGTGAGGAAAGAAGATATTCCAGGTGCATCACAGCACCTGAAAAAGTGCTTGACTAGCTAGGTTTCCCCAACCAGTTCCCTGTGTCAAAAGGGAAGTTCATCGTGAAAATTCAAATTTGCAGAGAAAACCCAAATCCCAGAAATGTAATAATAAAGTCTGAAGGATATCTATGCAGAGAATGACTGCACTGTTAGTTACAACTGAAAATCTTTACTTGCAGTGTGGATAAATACAGCCTCCAACCAGAATTGCACTACATGGGATCAGATCATAAACCATAACCAAACTATACTGATAATGGTGATATCACCCAGCTGTGCTATCTATTAAAACTGTGCAAGGTTTTGGGTATTGCCACTCTCAAAAAAGCTCAGAAATTGCACCTTACTAAAGGTTGTGGTTTAGTGGAAATTGGGAAGTTTTGAAAGTACAGTAGCATAAAAAAATTGAAGTGCAAACCCTAAGGTAGATATGACCCCAGTTGCTTTCAATATTTTATTGCCACATTAGCAGAAAAAAATCCAGGGACACAACACCGAAGGTGCGGTGCATTCACAAAAAAACCCAGATAAATACCTTACATTTCAATTCCCAGCATTACCTGAAGCTCCTGAATAGTTTCCAGAGAAGCATCAAATCAAGGAAATCAAGCATCTGGCAGCAGAACGTAGAACAATTTGCTAGTGAATCAAAGAGATTCTGGGAAAGAGGTAGTTAAAAAGATCATCTCACACTCACAGCTAAAAACCTCTGCATCACTCTATTATGTAACCCCTGTTTTATTTATCTCAGCTGTTGAAATTTATAATTAAGACAAAGTCTTGGTGATTCAATCAGACTGGAAATGCATAAAATTAAAGATATTAATCCTAGAAGCACTCTTAGTTTATTAACATTATCCTAGAACTGAGACTATTTACACAGGTACAGCTATGTGTAAATTAGCTATGTATTTGTAGTTTTAGGAATCCAAGGGAGAAACTGGTGGATTGTTAACGCTGGTAGATGGGAAAATATTGGATGGATGGCACTAATAATGCTACTACCTTAGGGTACAAAATGAAACATTTTTCTGCCACAGTTGTAGGATACTTCTCAAAACTTTATCAAACAAATGGAAGCCATGAGCATTACAGATTACGGCAAAACTGTGGCAAAGCCACAGACAGCGGAGTGGAGTGGGTGTTGAGTTAAACTATAGTTGGCAAAGGATTTGCAAAGTGGAAAAAAATTGTCTTCTTTCCTAGTGGGAAGAAAATAGTGTAAAACTGTAGGCAGTTAAGAAGTGCTGTGGCTTACAGCTGAAATCAGTCTCTCTTAGGTTTAAAATAATCTCACATTTGCATCTTTCACCAGTAATCATGAAGTCTGCATTTATTTAAAGACCCAGTAAGTAGAGAATAATGATGAACTTCTCTTCTAAGAGCTCTCCTGCTATCAGAAGAATGTATATGAAAGATCATTATTTAAAAAAAAAAATGCTAAAAAGAGCCATTTCCAGAAGAAATACAGTATTGCATTAAGATAACAACATTGTTTGTATTTCAGGTATGAACTTCTGACCATGGGGGACTGGAACCTGTTGGGCAGCATCCTTGAAGAAGTGCACATCCACTCCACCATAGTTGGCAAAATCTGGCTCACAATCCTGTTCATATTCCGGATGCTGGTGCTGGGAGTGGCTGCCGAAGATGTCTGGGACGATGAGCAGTCTGAGTTCATCTGCAACACGGAGCAACCTGGCTGCAGCAACATCTGTTATGACAAAGCCTTCCCCATCTCTTTGATCAGATACTGGGTACTGCAGATCATATTTGTCTCTTCTCCATCGCTAGTTTACATGGGCCACGCGCTCTACAGATTAAGGGCTCTCGAGAAGGAGCGACAGAAGAGGAAAGCCCACCTGCGGGCTCAGCTGGAAGACCTGGAACCCGTGCCTGAGGAACACAGGAGAGTGGAGAGGGAGCTGCGGAAGCTGGAGGAACAGAAGAAAGTGAATAAGGCACCCCTGAGAGGGTCCCTGCTGCGCACCTATGTCCTACATATCCTGACCCGGTCGGTGGTCGAAGTGGGCTTTATGATAGGTCAGTATCTTTTATACGGGTTTCACATGTCCCCCCTGTACAAATGCACTCGGCCCCCTTGCCCTAACACGGTGGATTGTTTTGTGTCCCGACCCACAGAGAAGACCATCTTTATGGTTTTCATGAACAGCATCGCCGCGGTCTCCCTGTTCCTCAACATCCTAGAAATCGCCCACCTGGGCCTCAAGAAGATCCAGAAGAGCCTCTACGGGTGGCGGCGGCGGCC